CAAACAACAAGATTCAGGCATTTCTGTTTTACCTCAGTAAGCATCTTTCCTGAAAAACACATTAGGAAAAGAGTATAAAAAAGATCATTTTCTTACTCTATATACTGATTAGGCATATGTATTAAATTATAGGTATTGGTTTGTACCAGCACATTGGCATGGGGTGTAAACCTTCCAGGTCATCATCTGGTCAATATTAAGGTAAGGCAAAACTTGTGCAGTATCTTTTTCATTTGGTTCCTATATTTACAAAGGTTTCTAGTAGGAGTATATTGCAGCAGCTGTTCTTCAGGACAAATTTACCTAAGTGTTGATTCTCTTGCAAGGAACAGAATATTATGATGGGAAAACAAAGAGATATGTTGATTTTCCAATATCAATCACAGATATATTGCAAATGATGGTTTTGGTCACACATGACTATATAAAATAAAAAATGGAAAGAAAGAAATATGTGAATCAGATTACATGCTTTTCTCCCCTTATAATCAACAGTTGCTCAGATTCTACAAGAAAGATGGGAGTAGATGTCCATCACAATCCGCCCGCCTAACAATCAACAAACACAAATCATATTAGTTTCTGAATATTTGCCTCAAATATTAAAACTATGAATCAGGTTGTTTGGGGTTTTGAATATCAGAAAATCTAATAAAGTCTTGCAGTCCTATATCTAATCAATAAAGCATTTTCCTTTTTATTTTTTCAATACTCTACACCTATCTGTTTTTTTGCTGTTAAAGTTTAGAACGCCTATCATTTGCATTGCGGCTGTGACAGGAGCAGCACAATGATCCTCTTGTACTTAAATATGGTGAAGACACACAAGTTAAAAGCCTTTGGTTTTGATTAGTGTCCATAGTACAAGATCTTACATGAGAATAGTTTTCTACAGATGTTTAATCCAGCTTACTATGGCTTGGACAACATCTATCACATCCATTTTTGAGTTATGAATACATTAATACAAAGAATGATTATATCAAACCATAATTTATTTATAAACAGAGCTTGTCTGAGCAAATACACAGGCGCTTATTGAAACTAACAAATGCATAGGTTTCTGAACTTCAAATAACTCTTTCAAATTAAAATAAGGCCCTGGGACATAGGAAGTATGGTTCCCCCAGAACTTGAACACTTGCCCACGTGCCCATGGCTACATCAAACTTTAATTCGCTTCAAAACGGAAATTGTGTCTGCAAATTGCTCAATTTCTTAAGAAACTATAAAGCTATATTTTGCCTAAATTTCAAATAGCTCCTCCAAGTTATGACTCCACCATAACTTGGATGCTTGCTCGTATACCCTTTCAGTTGGATGGAAAGAGTCAAAGAAGACGTACTCAGTAACATTGTTACATAACTCATACTCAGTCACACCTCTCTTCCCTCCACAGCTGTTAATTCCTCTGTATGGACCAGAGCCACAGCACGCCGCCTTTACTTCCTTGAAACCTTTACAACACAATAATAACGAAAAAGAATATTAAAAAGGAGACATGACTTATCAGCCTATGACAAAACCAAATAAGAGAAACTATAACTTAAAGGAGAAGGTGTCATGGCTATGCATACCATATTTTGATGGATGATTAATTCTTTCTTTAGCGTAAGTGTAGAGATTAAGCATTGAGTATTTGAATCCTTGGAGCTCTATCTTCAGTTTTGTGAGGACTTCAGAAAGTAGTCTATTGTGTAGATTCTCAAGTGCTGTAACTTCCTCCCCGGAAGGGCCCGTGTTTCCTGGTTGAATCACTCTCATGCTTGGCGTAGAAGCAATTGGGCCCACACTTGAAAATCCAAATTTCCTGCCTCCTTTCTTGTTTACATCCTGACAAAATGTATATCAAATCACTCCTCCAAAAGATCTTTCCGGATTCATAATCAGACGAACAAAGTTGTACACAAATTGTAATAAGTCATAGAAAAAAGAAGAAACTCGAATTAAAATTTTTCTCCTGCTATGTATGTGTGCAAAATGAAGATAAGATTACTTCGATCCAACTTGTCAGGTTGCCAATAACCCAGCCAACATATTCTTCCTGGCTGGTATTGGTGGCTAATGGGATAGAATAGTCATTGCTTCCAATGCTGATTAAGTAGACAGCTTTGGACAGCAATGTGTAGGCTTCTGCTTCACCTAGTTTCTGCCTCAACTGCTTCTCCACCTTCTTGAATTGACTTCGTTGAGTTTTAAGGTCTATCACCTGAAAACAACAGATCACATAATCAAATCATGCTAACGAAAAGCACTCGAATTACCGAAAATACATATTCAGATGCTGCAACTGTAACTAAAAGTCATAACAAGGGAAAACATATAATAAGGCAGTGCATGTACAAATCCTTGAAAGGTTTCAACTAGAGCACCAGCTCCACCAGAAGCAAAGTTCGCCCCATAAGTATAGTCTTTCAACCCAGGTTGACTCACAAGATGGTTCTTACCAATGAAGTCTGAGATTAAACGCCCATTAGAAAATCTACCAGTTGGGTACCTGAAGAATGTTTCACCATATGGCAACCAATTGGCCTGGAAATCTTTTGTGGTATTTATGTAGTTATTATTTCCAGGATCATAGAGTGAATCACCAAAGATGAACAGGGCTACATGCTTTTTCTGAAGCCCAGAATGGCCATGGCAGCTGCTTTGAATAACAAGGCCTGCACAGAAAGCCAAGATATAGATTTGAAACCTGAAAGATGCCATTCCGGTATTTTCTGTTTAGCTTTGTATTTTATAATCTTTTCCTCTGTTTCAATTCAATTTAATAGATGGCTGAAACTGGTGTGAAACTTGGACTTTCGATTTGAACAGAAAGTAAAGGTAAGGAATTTAGGCCATCTCCAGCCATAGGGCTAAATGTAGCTCAGAGCTAAAAATTTAGCCCCCCAAAATATTAATTTTTTAAAGAATAGTGCATGGCTAAATTTTTCCACCTCCAACCATGCATAGCTATATTTTAGGTTCCTTCATATTTTATTATTTTGAGAAAAACTATGGTACAATACTCATACATTTCACAACTATATATTGTTTAATTGAATTAAACTACTATTTTTTTTATAAAAAAAATAAAGCCAACAAAGGAAATTTAAAAATAAAAATGGAAGGGTTTCAAGGGTCTGACCTTCAACGGTCATGGACTATAATTTTTTATAATTTTTTTTCAACAATACCAAACATTTAAAAATGTGAAGACAAAAAAAAGAGGATGAGTTTCAATGTTTGAGCTCCAATGGTCATGAACAAGACCTTTTTATGATTTTTTTTTTAAACAACACTTGAAAATATTTGAAAAGGATATTTTGGAGAAGGTGGAGAAAAAGAATATTAAAAAGGAGACATGACTTATCAGCTTATGACAAAATCAAATAAGAGAAACTATAACTTTAAGGAGAAGATGTCATGGCTATGCATACCATATTTTGATGGATGATTAATCCCTTCTTTAGCATAAGTGTAGAGATTAAGCATTGAGTATTTGAATCCTTAGAGCTCTTTCTTCAGCTTTGTGAGGACTTCGGAAAGTAGTCTATTGTGTAGATTCTCAAGTGCTGTAACTTCCTCCCCGGAAAGGCCCGTGTTTCCTGGTTGAATCACTCTCATGCTTGGCGTAGAAGCAATTGGGCCCACGCTTGAAAATCCAAATTTCCTGCCTCCTTTCTTGTATACATCCTGACAAAATGTATATCAAATCACTCCTCCAAAAGTTCTTTCCGGATTCATAATCAGACGAACAAAGTTGTGGCAACCATATATTGTTTAATTTAATTAAACTACTATGTTAAAAAAAATAATAAATAAAGACAACAAAGGCAATTAAAAAAAATAAATTGGAAAGGTTTCAAGGATCTGACCTTCAACGGTCATGACCCATAATTTTTTATAATTTTTTTAAAAAAAACCGAACAATTAAAAATGTGAAGAAAAAAAAAAAAAAAAAAGGATGGGTTTCAATGTTTGAGCTCCAATGGTGACTTTTTTATAATTGTTTTTAAACAACACTTGAAAATATTTGAAAAGCTTACCACATTTATTATTATTATTATTATTATTATTTAAAAGGGAGTGGGTAGGTCTGACCTCTAACGTCATTGCCAACAATTTTTTATACTTTTTTCTTAAGCACTATGAATTGAAATATTCAAAAGGCTTTCAAAAATCTATATATATTAATGTTGGTCGTTTAAAAGCACATGGATGCCCCACTACAAATTTGGCTTAGGCCAAAGCTGGGCTACAGTTGGCCTGGTTGGAGGGCTAAAGGGCCAAATGTCGCCCTTCAAATTTGGCCAAAATTTTGTTTAGCCCATGGCTGGAGATGACCTTACTTCCAGATAACATAAAGAAAAGTCAAGGAACTTGAACTAAAAAAGAAATTTGTGTAGTCCAATGAAGTTTCTTTTAGTCCTACAGAGTGGCCACAGATTTTGAAATGTATATAAAGTTGCTGCGCTAACAACATACGTAAAGTTATTGAAAACAATAGTGATGGACGAATATTCAAGCCAAATTTTTTATTTTCTGTTTCAATTGTGTAATGTTCAAATACTATAACCATTAATTCAACAGTTTTTGGGATCCTGCCACGGGTTTACAGAGTTCATTTCTACAATACTAAAAGGCTGGCAATTTGGATATAAACTCCATTTGACTTTTTAAAAGGACTAAATATACAATGCCATCTGGCCTTTTTTTTTTCTTTTTAAAAGTGATAATACACTCCCTTATGATTTTGGGGGTTAAATTTTGACTGTTCTTGATAAAAACACAAAGCATAAAGTGGTATTCTAGCCCCAAAAACCTAAAACGATAAGACAAAAATGTATATTTCAAGGTATAGCCGCACGGCTATACTGTCTAAATACGTTCGAATATTTTAAAGGTGTAGCCGAACGGTTAGACTCTTTAAATATTAATATATTCGAATATTTAAACAGTATAGCCGAACGGCTATACTCTTTAAAGATTAACACGAAGCTTGCACTCGCAGTCACAGCCATTTCGCTTCTCTATCAAACTAAAGCTCAGATTGGTTTTCTTCGGTTTCGGCTGCTTCGTCCTCCAGCTTCGGCATCGTAAAAAGACCCAACCCGCCTAGGAGGCCGCCCAGCAGCCTAACCCCCGCCTAGCAGCCTAGCACCCGCCTAGCCCCTGCCTAGCAGTCTAGCGCCCGCCTAGCACCCGCCTAGCCCCTGCCTCGCAACCTAGCGCCCGCCGAGCC